TATGTGACGTTTTGGAACCTTCAGTTGGCTCAAAGTAAATAGCTACCGACAGGGACCCATGACTATGACTTCACTCATTTGTCAAAGCACCAATGAGGTGCTATACTTCACAGCTGATATTCGACCTCACCTAAATTGATTTGGGCTGCTACAATGAATCTGATTAGGGTTGCTATAAATTTGTTTATGATGTAGTCCATGGTAGGCAATCCCAACATTTTACCTTGATAGTCTCTTTCTCTTCTACAATGAGTAAAAGACATGTTTTGACCCAAAGATTAGCGAAATGGCAAGTTTTACTACTGGTTTCATATACTCCAGATTTTCACACTTAAAGTACACCGTTAGTAACTGTGGTCCCTTGCTTTTCTACGATGAGCAAATACATGTTCCTGCCTAAAGATTAGCGAAATGGCAAGTTTCACTGCCAGTTTCATATATTCTAGATTTTCACACTTAAAGTAACACCGTAGTAACTGTGGAATTCGGACATAGATTAGAGGATGATATTACCAGTTTGTCCTCATATCTTCTTCTTTTTCATCTCCACACCCAACCATTACCATTGCCACTGCCACCTAGCCCTTGAATCACCCCATTGCAAACCACTATCACAACTGTCCAAACCACCACCATAGCCCATTCCAACCACCACCATAGTCAACCAAACCCACCCCCCACCCAACATGGAACTTGAATCACATCAACATGATCCCTCCCCCAAACCCCACCCCTATGCCACCACCACTACTACCACTCCTACTGCACCAATGCATTTCTAACCTAGAAATCAAAATCATTCTCTAAGTCTCTCAAGATATCAAAATCATAACTTTTCACCAAAGAAAAAAAATAATAATAAGAAAACCTTGGCTAAAATCGCACCATTTCATAGCAACAAAAACAAAACAAACAAAAACAAAACAAAAACAAAACAAAACAAAACAAAACAAAAACAAAAAACAAATACAAATACAAAAAAAACAAAACAAAAACAAAAACAAAAAACAAAAAACAAAACAAAACAAAAACGAATATAAAAATCAGCACGCCCCCCCCCCCCCCCCCCTTTTCTCGTCAAATTGCCCCAATAAAACATAGCCAACACCAATCGCACCCAAGCTGCTCCCTTTTGTGCACACAAGCCTGCCCAGTGCATAACCCCCACGCCCAAACCAGCATGCGCCTCACCTCCCAACACGACCAACCACAAAGCAACCTTCCCCACAAAAGGTAATGAGCAATTGATAAGAACTTGAAAATACATATTTATTTAGTGGTTTATGGGGATTGTTTGTGAGAAATTAGGCTTAATTTGGTAAAGTTGCTCAATATTTTCATAATTGTCTTTTATGGGATCACAGGTGTGTTTGAGTGTTTTTCAGGTTAATGGTGCTAAATGTTATGCTCGAATAAAGAATCATGTCAACAACGGAATGAGTGACGAGTAGAAACAAACGGATCGAGAATCAGAGTTGAATTGAAGAAGTTATGGAGCTTTGAAGTATATTAGAGTCCTACACCGACTAGACATACTCAAGCTTTCTAGTTTATAAGAGGGGGTAATCCTCCCATTCAACAAGGCCTTATTGGGTGAGGAGTCAAACCCACCTTAAATTCTATCATGGTATTAGAGCCTAGGTTCAATTAAGCTGAGTGTTTGACCAGCGAGCAGGGAGTTAAAGCCAGCAACTACCTCTACTAAAACAAGTATGATCCAACATATGGGTTTGATCGTGAGGGGGAGTGTTGGAGTCCCACACCAACTAGGCATGCTCAAGCCTTCTTGTTTATAAGAGGGGGTAATCTTCCTATTCAACAAGGCCTTATTGGGTGAGAAGTCAGACCTACCTCAAATTCTATTAGTAAAGAGGAGATTGTAGATTACATTCCAGTTTGAGCATGTCTCAGTATTTTAACAATAACTTGAGTTGTAGACCTTGGATTAATACGATTCTTTAACTGTTGAAAAGCTAATTCAAAAAGCTACATTTCATTTATTTACACTTCTCCAGATTCCATCGTTATCATGCTAAAAAATCATCATCTATGAAGTGTTGAGGAATGATGCGAGATTTGAATTGAAGAAGAGGAATTTATCACCATGTTGTAGCACGCTTAGTTTAGAATCAACCATGCCGCAGCATAGTGCTGGGGCATAGTCATGATAGCTAAAAATCTTTACTTCCTTTTTTACTAGGAAAATAAGGTTTAAGAGTCCTAAACTAAATAGAATTAAGGAATACAAAACCCGAACCTTGTGGGATATAAATAGAAGTCTTTTAGCATTATTTTGGGTATTCTTTGGAGAGAAGAAGAGAAGAAAAACCTGTAGAGAAGAAAAGTGACAGAATTTCTAGAGCTTTGATTCGCAATATAGAGAAGTTCTTCTAGTTTCTTTCTTATAAACTCATGTTGATTGTTTTAATAAAGATGATTGTTTCTTTCATATTTATTATAAACTAACTTTATTTTCTAGGGCTAAGATATAGCCCAATCTCTTGATTATGTGTTGATTTAGTTATGTTTATTTTTATTAAGAATTCTTCCTAAGTTTTACTATTATGCATAATGCTTTTGATTCTTAAGAGCTCAAGAATTGAATGCTTAATGGGCTAGGTTGAGATCGAGAGATGATATCTAGTTGGTCCACGGTAGTAAAACCATAAGTTGAGCGAATGCTAGAGATAGGTTACTGCGATTTGTGAGGTTCTGGTAAACTCCATAAAGCGTAATGACCTCCAATTGCTTAAATCTATTAGAGATAATTCAGGTTAGTAATTAATTAGAGGTTAATTTGATAATTGTTCGAGAGAAAATTATTAGAAATTTAGGGAGTTTGATCTTTAGGAAGAGTTTAATGGGATTAACATAAGTTATCAATACATATGAATAAGAGTTGGTGTGAAATCTATGCCATAGGTCTAGTCATCTTGTATTAAAACCAAAGATTTTTTTAGTTGTTTTCTTTTCAGTTTTCTTTTAATTTCAATTGTTTATTTTTTTATTTAGTTTTTTCTTAATAAAATTTGGATTAATGAAATAGTAATAGGATAGTTTAATTTGGTAATTGATAATAGTAATTCCCTTGAGTTTGATATCCATATTTATACAATTTATTACTTGCACGATTTCATACACTTGCGAAAATCACATCAGTAATGATTCCATAGTGAGCAACGGTCGGTGATTTGGCAATGTAGAGGGGTATAGATGATAGGGTTTTTTATGAGGGAGGTGAGAGGATGTGTTTGATGGTGTCACGACATTCCAACAACACCAGAAGCAGGTCAATTTGGTCGGCAATCGTGCGGTGGAGGAGGTTAAGGGTGGTGGTGCAAATCTGGTGCCATTGGGCTAAATTTTGGTCAAATGGGGGTTGGGGGAGTGATTCTTGCTAGGTTTGGAGGGTTTTCCAACGAGGAAGCAGCTGAAGTGGTCAAGAATGATGTGAATGTTGAAGAAGAGGATAGAGGTAGAGAGTAGAGACGAAGAGGAGGTGGAGAGAAATTTGAGATGTAAATTTTTTTTGACGTTTTAATTTCAAATTATAGTAAATGACCATTTTAAACTTTAATTGTTAAAAGAAACGAAACAGTGTCAATTTAAGGGTGAGAATCTGGAATATATAAAACCAGGGTTGAAAACTTGTCGTTTCCCTAATCTTTGGGTGGAAACGGCTATTTTAAAACTTGACCCGTTGGGAAACCCGATCTGCTACCTGAATTCCAGGTTGGCCAATCCAACCAGTTGAACTAGTGACGTCAACAATTAAAAAAATGTAAAACCTGAAATCTTAAAAAAATTCAACAACACCATTCAATAACAATCCCAACATGACATTATGTTGTGTTCATATGATTATAAATTAAATTACAAAATTCAAAAAGATAGTCACATAATAATTAATAACAAAATCATTTGGTGCAAGTGTTTTTTCTTTGTCCAGTCTCCATGTTTATTGAGCTTCACACACTAGCATAGACTATTAGTGCTATACTATTTCAAATACCATTAGCATAGAACACTGCATGAAAACCAAGAAAAATTCCAGTGTTAAGAGGAAAATGATGCCTCCGAAACTAAAGGCAGGATTGGTTCTAAATGAGAACCCAAAAAAATCCAACTACAAAACCACTCCAAAAAATGTTCGAAACTCTTAGTTAAAATATTTGTTTTTCATGTTTCGGTAAAGTTTTAGAGACATGGATTTGGAATAAACATGAGTTGTGATTTTGTTTTAGATGTTTAATTGTGAATCTTGGTTTTGCGGATTTCAAAGGGGATGTTGAACAATTTCATGGTTTATAAGTAATAGATGTTTGGTCTCTATATAGGAAGAATGACTCAATGCTTCTGTATAAAGACAGACAAACCTGTAACCGATTTCAAAGTCTTTATTTCAATAATCAAAAGCAAAATGTGTTATTTCATGAAAACTTTTATATTGTGACATGGACTAAAACTTTGCTATGTTACTAATGATGAAATCCAATTGAAAAGGCACAAGCTGCTCGTAAGGGATGGGCATTGCTTAGTTACTTAATGCTTATCAATCTTATACATCAATTACTACGAAGACAAAAACTATTTTATTTCAAAACCTATATATGTAAAACAGTCTCAAGTGAAGCCCAGAGTCAAGCCCAAGTCTTAGTCAAACCGGCCAATCCGATCCGATCTAGGTTTGCACTGCACCACCAATCCGAGGCGGTTCTTTAGTTATTACCGGTTTTAATATTAACCCGGACCAAAGTCAAGCCCAAGTCCCAGTCGGACTGGCCGATCCGATCCGGTCTAGGTTTTAAAACGATGGTGGGAATATGTTTGCTCTTCTACGATTGTATAACTGGTGTAGAGGAAATAAATCTAATTATGCAAAGATCAAATAACCCTCACACCAATCTTGGAAGATATCATAAAATTTGTGTTTTGTGTGTGAAGAAGAATAGGGTGGGGCGTGTGGTAAGTTAAGAAAAAAGAAAAAAAAAAGGGGATTATTTAGTACTTTGCTGACTTGATCATGAATCTAATGAAACAAGAGTAAAGTAGCGTCTATGGCAAAGCAAAATCTATTCAGAGTTTCTGAGAACTGCATTTGTAAGACGAGAAGCTGTTAAATTGCTATATTTTAGCGTAAGAAGTATAGGAATAAACTCAGTATATATCACATCATGTGCAAAGAGCCGATGACAACATGTTATTCATCATCCTTGTAAGGGTACTCTTCTGGAAGTTGCTTCACAAGTTTAACCTGCAGCTCGTATGCATCATCCCCTCGAAGCACATCCCGGATCCAAGTGACTTCAGTCTTCATTGACACCTGGAAAGGTGAAAATTCAGACCACAATAAGTTGAACAAATATGGACCATTCCTCTATTCAATTCAACACAATTAAGCCTCATTCCCTTTATCAAAAGGACTCGATTATTTCATAGGATCTATATTTTGTTAAAGCAAAATATATTCAGACACAGAAAAAGATCCTAAGCTAGAAACTTCAGAAATAAAAGATAATTTTAAAGTAAAAGGTCATTACAGTAACAAACACATATACTGTTTCTTCATCTCAAATTTAACATACAGGGCAGGATCAAGGAAAGAGATGCCTCTACCACAGAAAACAAAGTAATATCACAGGTTAAGAAGTTACCAACATTCACTACCACGATAAAGAAAAGTTTTAAACAAAATCGTTTGAAAACAGAGGACCTTGTGTTTCCAAATAAGTCATAGTCAGGAATGTTGGATTCACCCACTAGCAACATCTTGCTTAGCATATAACAGAAAATATTAATAATTGCAAATGCTTAGCTGTGCGATTAACTTTATATGATAAGCTCCACCAGTGAACTAACTCTTTCAGGGAACAGTAAAGTCTTAACTCTTACAAGGGTAGGGGGCATGTAAGAGACAAAAAGACTACATATTACAGTGCACCAATAGAAAATAAAGCAATCAAAGAAATCCCGTAAAAAGGAAGGCGTGAAAGGATGTGCAAGAGAAAGGTGGCACTCACCATCTCCAGGGCTCCTCTAATGACCCCACTCAAGATGTTGCAATAGTAAAGACCTTGACAGGTATCAGGGAGCTCAACAAAATCCACCAGGGGATTATCTTCTAAAATTATACTGCAACATGTCCCATCAACATCCCAGTTGGTCACTGATGCAGTAACCCCTAAGAACATTTTGAAACCCACCTGTACAGAAGCATTATCAGGTCTAAAAGAGAGCCTAATTTATGCTAAGAAGAGGTAATTGAGAAAGTACATCAACTGCAACCATACAAACATGACTCAGCAAATATAATAGAGTGGAACCAGTCAAATAGGCTTCAACAATATTTTAGAGATTGCGTAACTGTTTAATATATCATACGGAGATGCATCCTTAATCTTAAGATATACTCGCTAGCAGTAACAACTTTTGCTACAGCAGCCCAAAGTTCTGGGTTCTAAATGTGTCTACAGTTGCTGAGTGCTTACAAGAAAAGTGCAGAATAAACGAGTTAACTTTAAACTTATGTCAGCAACCATCCAGCATCTAACAGAGCACAACAAAATTGAAGCCACCCTAAATTTTAAAAGAATAAACCTCTGTTGTAATTACAAAGATCATATTTAACTAAGTTAAAGTGAAGCTCAACAACAGAAGTTTATGTCAGTCCATTATGAATCAATTAAGAATAATTATGCATGCAACAAGACAGACAGAGATCAGTACACATAATTCACTCTCCACAAACAGACTTTGTGTATCCACCCTTAATTAGTTTGGAGACGGTATATACTGTTAGAAGTATATAATAATTAATATGAAACGGAAAGGAAAAAGAGAAGGATATTAAAACACTGATGTCTATGAGCAATATCTGTAAGGACATTGACAAATTCTGGAAGATATAGTACGACCAATTTTGAATTTATATCAAATCTAGTTATTACAGTAACCTTTGCAATCACTTCCGCAGTCTCTTTGAAGTCAACACATCTAGAGACATTAGATTTTGCTAGAAACTCGTCAATCAATCGAATTCCCATATTGTAGCCCCTGAAATGAAATCAAATTCAAATGAACATGGGCTGAAACTCAGTATCCTAGAACTTCCATCAGACACTACAACATAAGCACTTACACCAGTCAGTAGTATAAGATGATTTAGCTTAATTCAGATTTGAACTTAAGATAAAAATATACTGAAGTCCCCACCTATTAAAACAAATCATTTAAAACATTTACCTACCAGTATTATTTTAATCAATTTTTACTTTCTGCTCAAATGCTATAGCATGTACATAACAAATTCCGACCAAACCACAAAATTCTTATTATTTTACAAAATTTAACTTCAACATTCAATGCTTAATTTAGCTACCCAGTATGTGCATCAGCATAGTTTAATTACATTATATTTTATATTTCATAAATGAACAATCTCTTCAAAACCTTCAACATCAATACCTCACTTAAATTTCAAAAAACAATGGGAAAATCAAAGTAAATCAAGAAGCGTACATTTGATCAAGCTGTTTGTTAACTTCCTCAACCTCTTCCAGATCCGTCAGTAACTGACGCACAGTCGCGCCGTAAGTTAACGTAAAAAGCTCAGCATTCTACAGAAAACGAATTCGGAAGACGAACAATTCAACAAACGCGATTTCACGAATCAAATTTTAGAAGCTTCAGAGTAATTAAATCGAACGGTTACCACGCGTTCCACGTTGGCGAAGATCGCATCACCGGATCTAGGACCGACAGGCGCCATGTCGGATCTAAAGAGAAAACAGAATTTCCTTATTTCGCTATATGCTTTAAAAATTAAAGTAAAATGAAATAAAAGAAACAAAAACAAGTGAAGCCAAAAAGTGTACCAACAGTGGAGCTTAAACGACTTGTCTTTGCTTGCTTTCTTCTCCTTCTTCTTCGGCTAGTTTGGATTGAAATCAACTGACTGAATTGATTCCCTTGTTTTCTTAATTTCTTCAGCTCTTTTTCAGTTCATATCAATTTTAACGCGTTTACCTTTTTTTTTTTTTTTTTTTTTTTTTTTTTCGGGTTTAATAAGATGGATTTAACAGACGTTAGTGAAAGTGGGCAACAGTAAGGGAGTTTTCAGTGTAAGGACCAAAATAACCATGCTTTCCCCTCCAGAACACCGATTTCAACACCCTTTTCCGCAACACCACTATCAATTCTTCAATTCCACCGCCTAAATATGAACTGACACGAGAGTATTCTATAATCATCTAGGCTATGGCTCTTCTTTAGTTCGTCGATTGGTGGGTGGGAAAACACTATGGAGATGCATACAGCAGAGTGAACACTGTGGACTTAACATCGTCATATCACAATGGCAGCAAGGATGGATAGTTGAGACGGGAGCGGAGTGCAGGCCGACAGTGAGGTGGGAGTGACGGCGAGGGGGTGCTGGCGTCTGGTGGGGGCCAACGGTGACCGAATAAGGTGGGGTAGTTGAACTACGGTGAGATGTCGAGGCTGGGGTTTCATTTCCTTTTGTTTAGGTGCATTTCCCCTTCTGCCCTTTATCATCTATTCCTGGCTAACGTGTGTTAAAATCTGAGCGTTAATGACTCCATGCTGTCAGAATTGTTACTGCAGGATCTTGATTACTAAACCGAAAGCCCACGGGTAAATGCAATTATCTATTTCAAAATGGGCCGGTTTTTTTTTTTTTTAAATTTTCAAAAGCGATTTATAAGTTTTACTCTAAATTTAAATTGTTAGAGTTGTTCGATTCCTTCAATCTTGACGAAACAATTATTTTTCTAATAAGAAATATAGACTTCTTTATTCAAATAATTAAAGTAAAAATCTATATATTTCTATAAGCCACACATTTATTGAGTCTTTTTTTTTTTTTTTTACATATGAATATAGACAAACTAAAAATAAAAATATTAAGGGATTAAAATATTATTTCTTATTTTTAATATTTTTAAATAAAAAGTTTGTTGAGTGAAGCTTAAACGGTGTCGTATTGCGTCTGATTAATACGCTGTCGTTTTGGTGATAGCTCAAGTGACAAACCTCAGCCATTGGATTCAACCTGATCTGACGACTCTAACCAGCCCAGCAAGTCAAAGTATAAAAAGGCAGCAAATCTGAGAAATAAACAGTAACTGAAATCTTTTCTTCTCTCGTGTTTTAGCAACACAATTAGGGTTCTTATTTTTACTCTTATCGAATATTGTAATCAAGTCTTAGGTTCTTGAGAATCTTGTTAGCAGAAGTTTGAGGTTGATCTTCTGGTGTAGGCATTCAATTTCTAGTTTGCTTATTGTGATTACAGGGAGGTTTGAGTGGTTGTTGTAATGGTGTGAGAGTTGAGTGATTTGGGTTGTGATTTGAGTTATACTTGTAATACTTTGATCCTTATAGTGCTGTGAGTCCCAATTTGCTTGGAACTCAACGTGGATGCCATTGGAATAAGCGAACCATGGTAAAAATCTACTGAGTTCTTGATTGTGTTCTTGATAGATTAAGTCTTGTGATTGTGTTTGTGAGTGGTAATTGTTAGGTTTGAATTCTGTTTAATCTTAACAGTGGTATCATAGCAAGATTAGGGTTTTTTTCAATCTGATTTGAGTGATTCGTGAAAGCTAGGGTTTATACAAATTGGGGGTTTCTTTACAATCAGTCAAATTGGTGTCTTAGGGCTTGGAAAACCTTAGAATATCCGATCAACTTCGTGAAATTAAGTCGAATTCAATCCTAACCACGATTAGGGTTTCTGTGTCAATCCTAAATCCAAATAGTAACCCATCACTATGACTACTAAAACAGTTGAAATCACCCAATTCGATGGGAAAATTAATTTCAATAGTTGGAAGAAGAAAATGAAGGCATTGTTATCTCATAACAAGGTAGCTATCGCACTGGAAAAGGATGTAACCAAATGGTCAGAGAAGAAACTGAAAAAGAAAGCAGAGCTGGAGGAGGAGGCGTACAACCTGATCATTATGACAACCTGATCATTATGAACCTCTCCGATGGGGTCCTGCAAAAGGTAGACGGTTTTGAAACTTCGATAGTGGTATGGGGTAAACTTGAATCCCTTTATGCTTTACAGTCTGCTCCAAATCTAGCTTACTTAAAAGGTGTTTTATTTGCAATAAAATGGATAGCTCTAAGACCATTGATGAAAATCTTGATGAGTTCTTGAAACTGACCCAAGTGTTGAAGGGTACAGATCAAGAACTTGGAAACTCTAGTTTAGCTATGATTCTGTTGAACTCATTAACTGAAGATTACCAAGTTTTAAAAAATGCCCTACAATACATTGGTACTGTCCCAAGCGTGGACTTAATAGTTTCAGGATTAAAAGCTAGAGAGTTAGAGATTAAAGTACAGAGAAGAACTGGTAGTAACCTATTTGTTAAGGGAAAGGGTGATTTTAACCAGATAAGCAATTATGTCCAGTCTGATAGTGGCCCTAGGAATAAGAAAAAGGGAAAACAAAACCGTAAGGCCAAAGGAGAAACCCGAAAGTGTTTCTTCTCTAATAAGGCTGGCCATTTGAAAAAAAAAAAAAAAATTTGTTATGCCTGGCTTAAAAAACAGAAACAAGGGAACACTGAAAGCAACCTAGCAATCTCTAAGTCCAGTTTAGAAGAATCTGAAGTTCTAACTGTTTCTAAAACAAAAAAAAAATAAATGATTAGGTGATGGATTCTAGGTGCTCATTTCATATGAGTCCCAATAAAGATTGGTTTTAGGACTATGAGGAGAATAGGTTAGAAACTGTGTATATGGGGAATAATAATGCCTGTAAAGTTGAAGGAATAGGCAGCATAACCTTAAAACTAAACAATGGTAAAACTGTCAAGTTGACTAAAGTGAGGTATATTCTAGAATTAAAAAGAAACCTAATTTCATTAGGTATTTTAGATGAATCTGGTTGTAGTTATAAAGCTGAAAATGGTTGCCTCTATGTCTATGAAAATAACAGTGTTTTGCTTGAAGGGATAAAAAGGAATGGCTTGTATATTCTGTCTGGATCCTATTATTCTGACTGTTTAAATTCTGCGTTGGTTTCTACTAACTTGAATGCTACTAAAAAATGGCACTTAAGACTAGGTCATATGAGCCAAAAGGGCCCGGACATCCTCCATAAGCAGGGCCTGTTTGGTAAGGACCCAATTGAACCTCTTGAATTTTGTGAGACCTGCATCATGGGCAAGCAACACAGGTTGAGTTTCCAAAAGGGAACTCACCTGGCTACCAACTACTTAGAATATTTGTATGCTGACTTCTGGGGACCTGAAAGGGTCAAATCACATGGGGGAAGTAGTTATTTTCTATCTATAGTAGATGATTTCAGTAGGAAGGTGTGGGTGTTTTTACTTACGACTAAGGATGAGGCCTTGAGTAAATTTAAGAGTTGGAAAGTCCTAGTAGAAAACCAAATTGACAAAAAGGTTAAAACTCTTAGGACGGACAATGGCTTAGAGTTCTGTAACCTGGAATTTGACTCTTATTGCTCTGAACAGGGCATTCTAAGGTATAGAACAGTTAGGAAAATACCCCAACAGAATGGGATTGTTGAACGCATGAATATGACCCTTTTAGAAAAGGTTATGTGTCTTCTCTTCACCTCCAGCCTACCAAAATCCTTTTGGGGAGAAGCCTTCAACACTGCAGCCCCTTTGATTAATAGGAGCCCCTCAAGTGCAATCTCTTTTATGTGCCTTGAAGAAAGATGGAGGAATAGGAAACCTAACCTAGGATATTTGAGGACCTTTGGGTGTGCTGCCTATGTGCACACCAATGAAGGGAAGTTAGAACCTAGGTTTCTTAGGTGTGTGTTCCTAGGCTACCAAGAGGGAACAAAAGGGTATATACTTTGGGAGAGGAGTGCCCCTAGGGTTAGGATAATTATCAGTAGGGATGTAATCTTTAATTAACAACCATTTCCTTGCAAAATCACTAACCCTGATGCAGGATCAGCAAGCTGTCATCCTATTAATCAAGATCAGCAAGCTGTCATCCTATTAATCAGGATCAACCCGAGAGAGTCCAAATTGAGGTGGAACCTGCTGCACCTTAACCTGATTTGGAGCAACTGGAAGTTGATGTTGATGGATCAGACCTAGATCTTGAGTTGGAACAAGAACAAGCTGTAGAACCTGATGATCACCAGGTTGACCCCTTAGCACAATACCAGCTAACCAGAGACAGAAGTAGAAGAGAGATCAATCCACCAACTAGATATTCCTATGCTGACCTGATCTGCACAGCCCTAGTGGCAGGGGCCCAAGTTCAAAGGACAGAACCAGACTGCTATGAAGAAGCAGTCAGATCCAAAGACAGAGAACAATGGCAAGCTGCAATGGAGGAAGAGATGTTGTCCCTTAAGGTAAATGGAACCTGGTCTTTGGTTCCAAATCCCAAAGACCAGAAACTAGTTGAGTGCAGATGGTTATTCAAACTGAAGGAAGGTATAACCTCTTCTGACCCTCCTAGGTATAAGCCTAGGTTGGTAGCTAACGGCTACACACAGCGGGAGGGAATAGACTTTAACGAGATATTCTCCCCTGTTGTGAAATATAAAACCATTAGGATCATGTTAGCCATTGTTGCCCATAAGGACCTAGAATTAGAACAGTTGGATGTCAAGACTGCTTTTTTGCATGGGAATTTAGATGAAAATTTTTACATGAGACAGCCCACTGGTTTTGTAGATAGGAACCTGCCCAATCATGTGTGTCTACTTCATAAATCATTATAAGGACTGAAACAGTCCCCTAGGCAGTGGTATAAATGTTTTGATGCATTCATACTTAGCATTGGTTTCAATAGAAGTAAGTATGATAGCTGCTTTTATTATGCACTCTTTGATAACATGCCTTTATATCTGTTGCTATATGTGGATGACATGCTCTTAATTTGCAAATCTAAGTCCAAGATAGAAGAGTTGAAGAAAAAATTGAACTCTGAATTTGATATGAAGATTTAGGACATGCAAGAAGGATTTTAGGCATGATCATAGATAGAAACAGAAAGCAGAATGAACTGAAGGTACATCAAACTTCATATTTACAAAAACTGGTGACCAAATTTGGCATGACAAGTTCTAAAGTAGTAACAATACCTTTGGTTGGACATTTTATGTTAAGTAAGACTCAATGTCCCAAAAAAGATGCATATTTAATTAAAATAGAAAATATTCCCTATGCAAATGTAATTGGGTCTGTTATGTATGCCATGATCAGCACTAGACCAGACCTCTCCTTTGCAATTTCCCTTTTAAGCCGATTTATGTCAAATCCTTGTTTTAAACATTGGCTTGCTCTCAAATGGTTGCTTAAGTATATTAACAGTACATTGAATGTTGGCTTGGAATATGGAAAAAGATTCGACTCACTTGATCTTGTAGGTTTTGTAGACTCTGATTTTGCAGGTGACAAGGATTCAAGGAAGTCAACTACTGCATACTTGTTTACCTTGGGAGGAAATTGTGTAAGCTGGAAGCCCCAACTCCAGCCAATCATTGCACTGTCCACCATCGAGGTAGAGTATGTGGCTGTCACGGATGTATTCACAGAAGCCCTTTGGCTCCAAGGATTACTGTCAGAGGTAGAGTTGCTGGATGGTACAGTTACAGTCTATTCGGATAGCCAAAGTGCCATCCACTTGTGCAAGAACCCGATGTATCACGAACGGACCAAACATGTTGATGTTAAATACCATTTTGTGAGGGAGCTTGTTGAGAAAGGAGTGATCAGCCTAAAAAAGGTACCAATTGAAGACAATCATGCTGATATGGGAACAAAGGTGGTCACTCCGGTTAAGTTCAAGCACTGCTTGAACTTACTGCATGTCAAATGACCTGCAGGCTGCAGCTATCGAGCTGTGATAAGCAATTTGTGATGAAACTGCACTGATAAAGTTACTTGGTTCTCTTGATTTGATGATGTGTTAAAGCTTCAAGGTGGAGATTGTTGATGAAGCTTAAACGGTGTCGTATTGCGTCTGATTAATACGCTGTCGTTTTGGTGATAGGTCAAGTGACAAACCTCAGCCATTGGATTCAGCTTGATCTGACGACTCTAACCAGCCCAGCAAGTCAAAGTATAAAAAGGTAGCAAATCTAAGAAATAAACAGTAACTGAAATCTTTTCTTCTCTCGCGTTTTAGCAACACAGTTAGGGTTCTTATTTTTACTCTTATCGAATATTGTAATCAGGTCTTAGGTTCTTGAGAATCTTGTTAACAGAAGTTTTAGGTTGATCTTCTGGTGTAGGCATTCAGTTTCTAGTTTGCTTATTGTGATTACAGGGAGGTTTGAGTGGTTGTTGTAACGGTGTGAGAGTTGAGTGATTTGGGTTGTGATTTGAGTTGTACTTGTAATACTTTGATCCTTATAGTGCAGTGAGTCCCAATTTGCTTGGAACTCAACGTGGATGTAGTTTATTCCATTGGAATAAGCGAACCACGGTAAAAATCTTCTGAGTTCTTGATTGTGTTCTTGATTATGTTCTTGATAGATTAAGTCTTGTGATTGTGTTTGTGAGTGGTAATTGTTAGGTTTGAATTCTGTTTAATCTTAACAAAGTTTTTGACAAATGTATAAAATATATTTCCAATAGATAAAACTATGTATAAAATAAAGGTTAAAAAATCACACGTAAATATGACAGAAATATGAAACAAATCCTTTTGAAATATGATCTCAATTTATCTTTTATTCATGTAGGACTTTCATTTCAACCCTCTCTGCTTTATTCATTACCCAATTTAGTAGAGGTGAAACCTAAACTAGATAAAATCGGACACAACCTAATACAAACTAAATCAATAAAAATGATTGTCAATTTGAGTTTTATTAAATTGAATTGTTAATGAGTTGATATGTTAAAACATATTTATTTATTTTTTCAATGACCGGAGTTAGTTTGCACATCTCAACTAATTCACTGGACCCCTAAAATTAACAATCGAGTATTTTTTTCAGTTGTCATTCTTATATATGTTATGTTGTTTTAATTTTAGTTTTCACTCTTTAATACCCATTTTTTTAGTTTAACTCGTTTATTAAAAATATATTAGTAATTCATATAAAATATTAAAACTAGTACAGTATATAGAAGACAAATTTTGATAATCCAGTTATTATTTTTAAGTTTTATCCATTGTCACTTTCAAACTTTCAAAATTCAAAGAGGGAATCTCTTACTTTTGAGAAATTCTTGTTTCTTTCTTTATTCTTTATTATCTTATTAAAAGCAGTCCTTGGATTCCAAATCAATGGATGAAAGCAACCCATATTATTGCCTGATTCGACTCTCCAAAAGTGAATGGATCAATTGATTAATAAAATGATTTTTCATTATAAAAAAAAAAAAAAAAGGGCACAAAACTTGCAGATTTTAATATGATTTCTTTTTATTTATTTTATCATAAAAGAGATGGCGATTGGATGACACAACAGCTGACTTGTATCTAACTCCGTCACACAAACACCAACGGCAGAAGTAACGGACACCAACCCATCCACTCCATTCTCTAATCACAAGAAAGGCAAACCCACACGGTATTCCTACCCCTGCGTGAGCGCGTCGTTTTATTATGGCTCCATCAGCTCAACTCATTGACCCAACATGCCATTTTTATTTTTATTTAAATATGCAACACTCTCAATTATTTATGAAAAACAGACATAAAATCGTATGAATGAGCAATATATTTAAGTAATTTTAAAGATATTGATTGAAAACTAATACAGCATATATATTTATTTATTTTTTTCAAAATGCTTTAATGCAAGAAAAAAAATATAAATATATATCAATTATCTTAATATTTTTGTTAAAAAACATGTTTTAAAAGTAAAAATAAATTTTATCAATAAAATATATAATATTACTTTATGGTGTTTTCTTTTTATATATGCGCTGAGGACAGAAGAGCGAATATATCAGCGCGTGGCTTCACTACAGTTAAACGAGTGAGGTGGTATCGCTGTTTAGGTTCCTAAAAATATCCGCTCACGCTATCAGCCAACAGGTTGGAGAAGCTAATCTTGGCGTGCGGGCCAACAACAGGACAGTGAATTAAATACGTGGCAGCCATTTATTGGATATACATTTGGGTAGTTTTGTCATTTTCATTATCAATTATCACTATAAGTCGAGCACCTCGAGCCCTCTCTTCCTCGCCAATTATCAGATATTCTTCACATATTGTTAGATCAAAGCCTTCTTCAAGTTTCTTTCAAGGTAATTTCCTTTCTGATGTTTTTCTTAATGTCTTTTTATCAGTATAGTAGGAATATTAGGCTTGTTAATAGTAAATAGATTATTGATTTCTTTTAATTTCGTGAATTAGGGTTTGGTTTAATTACTGTTAATCTTGTCAGGCTGATTTGTATAACCGAGTCTGTTACTACCAAGAATCTCATTTACCTTTTTCTATGTTTCCCAAGAAATCATTTCTTGTTAATTGTTTATCACAATTTATTTAATTTTACATTTAAAGCTTTACACAGTATAGCGAATATGTTCTTTGAGACTATATATATGTTGATGATGATCTACGTATTTTTGAAGAATACATGGTAGGTGATTTATTGTGGTTGCTTCTGTTGCTTTGTGTTATTGTATGCTGATTTAGTGTTTGTTTTGTCTGTAGATGCAAATCTTTGTAAAAACTCTCACCGGAAAGACAATCACCCTTGAGGTGGAAAGCTCTGACACCATTGACAATGTCAAGGCCAAAATTCAGGACAAGGAAGGGATCCCGCCAGACCAGCAAAGGCTTATCTTTGCTGGTAAACAACTCGAGGATGGGCGTACACTTGCAGATTATAACATCCAGAAAGAGTCAACCCTTCACTTGGTCCTCCGTCTAAGGGGTGGTATGCAGATCTTCGTGAAAACCCTCACTGGAAAGACAATCACCCTTGAGGTGGAAAGCTCCGACACCATTGACAATGTCAAAGCCAAAATTCAGGACAAGGAAGGGATTCCCCCAGACCAGCAAAGGCTTATCTTTGCCGGCAAACAACTTGAGGATGGACGCACACTTGCTGACTATAACATTCAGAAAGAGTCCACCCTTCACTTGGTCCTTCGTCTCAGGGGTGGTATGCAGATCTTTGTAAAAACCCTCACTGGAAAGACAATCACCCTGGAGGTGGAAAGCTCTGACACCATTGACAATGTCAAAGCCAAAATTCAGGATAAGGAAGGAATCCCACCAGACCAGCAGAGGCTTATCTTCGCTGGCAAACAACTTGAGGATGGACGCACACTTGCTGACTATAACATCCAGAAGGAGTCCACCCTTCACTTGGTCCTTCGACTCAGGGGTGGTATGCAGATCTTTGTGAAAACCCTTACTGGAAAAACCATTACCTTGGAAGTTGAGAGCTCTGACACTATTGACAATGTAAAGGCCAAGATACAGGACAAGGAGGGCATCCCACCGGACCAGCAGAGGCTGATCTTTGCCGGTAAACAACTTGAGGATGGTCGTACTCTTGCTGACTACAACATCCAGAAGGAGTCAACCCTCCACTTGGTTCTTCGCCTCCGAGGTGGTATGCAGATTTTTGTGAAGACCCTCACTGGGAAGACCATTACCTTGGAGGTTGAGAGTTCTGACACAATTGACAATGTGAAAGCCAAAATCCAAGACAAAGAGGGTATCCCACCAGATCAGCAGAGGCTCATTTTTGCTGGTAAGCAGCTTGAAGATGGGAGGACACTTGCAGACTATAATATCCAGAAGGAATCCACACTCCACTTGGTCCTTCGTCTCCGTGGTGGTATGCAGATTTTTGTCAAGACCCTCACTGGTAAGACAATCACCTTGGAGGTTGAGAGTTCAGATACCATTGACAATGTTAAGGCTAAGATCCAGGATAAGGAGGGGATCCCACCAGACCAGCAGAGGTTGATTTTTGCTGGGAAGCAGCTTGAGGATGGAAGGACCCTTGCTGATTACAACATTCAGAAGGAGTCCACCCTGCATCTTGTGCTCCGTCTCCGTGGGGGTTTCTGAATTGGTCATGTGCTTATTTGAATCTGGTTTGTTTCCATTATGTTGGATATGTGGTTGTTTGTGTGGTGTGGTCTGGCCGCTGGCCAATATTTAATGTCTTAAATAAGTTGTAAAAACTCTATTTTAAGTTTTTTAGTTTTTATGCTTTTTGCGCTGTGTTTCTTAGATGCTGATATGGGCGTTCTTTAGATCATGTATATCAGTTCTAAGAACTTATATTAAATAAATACATATTATGGCGCTTAGTATATATCCTTGGTGTATGATCTCACTTGAGCCAATGCCTATTTGTTTGCTTTGCCTGAGTTAATAATAACAGCCTTGTTTTCGTTCGTGAAATCAACGAGTACCAATCTTTTGAGGAAGTTAATCCTGTAGTCAATCCTTATGAAACAGTTTTGTCCTTCGGGTTATAAATTACTTTTCTGGGGTTTAAGAATTTTATAGAAATTTGTTACATGATAAAAGAGGGTGGTGAATCAGGATACAGGTCTTATATCTGAAATTGAAGTCTATGTTTATTAAAATGCAATTGGAGGCGTAGACTCATAAAATGAAATGAATTTTCCAAGACCGCCCAATATGTAGATCATTAATCAAATACAATTACAAACTCCTGCGAGCGGAAAAATTTTGTGGACCTACCGACACAAGTCTTATATCATGGACGTTTAGGAGCACATAAACCATGGGTAGAAAATACAAGAAGGGGCAGAATCATGTGGAACAGTAGGATTTCATCACAGTTGAGCCGTTTATTAAACTTCCAATAAGGTTCAACTCAAAGTTTAGACAACTAAGAAAAGCCATCTTCAAGATCCTAAAAATGGCTTTTCATTTCAAAATTGCCCACATAATAACGTTGATCCTGGACAAAGACTTTGTGCTTATCTGTACCAGTTCAAACTCAAACATTGACGATAGCTGATATATTAAAATTCTCATTTACATGTAAAGCGACAGTCAAGCTTTTATTTTATTTATTTATTTTTCAATTTACTGTGAATTGTTGTACAATTCCAAAATTAGAGTGTAATAATCCGACTGTAAAACTACCTGCCGTTTTGAAGTATCGTGTAGATTTCCCGTGTCAAACTCGCATTGGAAGAACGTTGAGGTGGAGTCTCTACTAAGACCCGTCGTTCACGATAAGAATAAAAGAATCTGGACCAATCTTGGCGTGCTGGCCAATTTTAACACGTGGCACAATCTCATTGGATTTGTTTTCTTTTCAGTTCCTCATTAGGTCGGTTATCTCCACTATAAATATAAGAGCCATAACCCTAGCCAATGCATATCGAAATCGTCCTCTCTAAATTTCTCACAAAAAATTTCTGTCATTCAAGGTTGGAATCAAGCTTTTCAAGGTAATTTTCTATTTTGTCCTGTAATTATCTTAATTGATTTGTTGAATCATAATGCGTGATCTAGATTTTTGATAAATATGTATTTGATCTGGAGATTATGAATAATTGTACGTTATAGGTATGTCTTTTCGAGGTTTCATGTTTTTGATCTGTTTGATTATTTGCTTGAAAGATCGTGAATTTTGATTTAGAACTGCTGAAAAACTTTTTATTGATAGGACGGGGCTAATTGTTTACCGACCGATCATCAATTCTGATTGATTTTGTGTTATGTCATGATCATTAAAAAATTCCTTTTGATTTTGATTTGTGATTTATGAATGAATTTTTATTCATCTGGATTATCGGCTAGCTGTAGGGTTTCATTGGAATTATGTGAAATTTAATTTACCTATTTTATTAGGCGCTCCAATAATATTTATAGTTTAGGTCCTTTTATGGAATATTAGATATTCCGCGTGCTTTTATTCTATGGTCCTTTTTCTTTCTTTTGTTTGTGGTATTGTTTGGAGTGCAGATATGGTTGATTATTGTGCAGTTTCTTGGATGCTGTGAAAATTCTGGGGGAGGGTTTTACAAAAAACTTATTTAGTGTTATGTTCTACAATATTGATCAGTTTTGAGTTGATGTTTTATTTTTGTTGATAATTTGTTTTATTCATATTGTTGATGGTTAACTTGTAATGATGATGAAAATTAGGCTTGAAGAAATTCTTACAGATGTTGAAATTGTTTTGGATCATGGTCTGTTTGTGGTTGTCTTAATTGATTGGTGTTCTTTGCTTGTTTAGAACTTTGCTTATCTGTGATATCTTAAATGCTGTTTTCTTTTGGTTCACAGATGCAAATCTTTGTGAAAACTCTTACTGGCAAGACCATTACTCTTGAAGTTGAAAGCTCAGATACTATTGATAATGTGAAGGCAAAAATCCAAGATAAAGAAGGGATCCCACCTGACCAGCAAAGGCTTATTTTTGCTGGTAAACAGCTTGAGGATGGTCGCACCCTTGCAGACTACAACATCCAGAAAGAGTCCACTCTCCACTTGGTTCTGCGTCTCAGGGGTGGCATGCAAATCTTTGTGAAAACTCTCACCGGCAAAACCATAACCTTGGAAGTCGAGAGTTCAGACACTATTGACAATGTTAAGGCAAAAATCCAGGATAAGGAAGGTATTCCTCCGGACCAACAGAGGCTTATCTTTGCTGGCAAACAACTTGATGATGGCCGAACCCTTGCAGACTACAACATCCAGAAAGAGTCCACTCTCCACTTGGTTCTGCGTCTCAGGGGTGGCATGCAAATCTTTGTGAAAACTCTCACTGGCAAAACTATCACCTTGGAAGTCGAGAGTTCAGACACTATTGACAATGTTAAGGCAAAAATCCAGGATAAGGAAGGTATTCCTCCGGACCAACAGAGGCTTATCTTTGCTGGCAAGCAACTTGATGATGGCCGCACCCTTGCAGACTATAATATCCAGAAAGAATCAACCCTCCATTTGGTGCTCCGTCTTAGGGGTGGGATGCAAATCTTTGTGAAGACCCTTACTGGAAAAACTATTACCTTGGAAGTTGAGAGTTCTGATACTATTGATAATGTGAAGGCAAAAATTCAGGACAAAGAAGGTATCCCACCGGACCAACAGAGACTGATCTTTGCTGGGAAGCAGCTTGATGATGGCCGTACCCTTGCAGATTATAATATCCAAAAGGAGTCAACTCTCCACTTGGTGCTTCGTCTTCGTGGTGGTATGCAAATCTTTGTGAAGACTTTAACTGGAAAGACTATTACATTGGAAGTTGAGAGTTCAGATACTATTGATAATGTGAAAGCAAAGATCCAAGACAAGGAAGGCATTCCACCAGACCAGCAGAGGCTGATCTTTGCCGGCAAACAGCTTGAAGATGGAAGGACCCTTGCTGACTACAATATTCAGAAAGAGTCCACCCTGCACTTGGTGCTTCGTCTGCGGGGAGGCATGCAGATCTTCGTGAAGACCTTGACTGGAAAAACCATCACTTTGGAAGTGGAGAGTTCAGACACCATAGACAATGTGAAGGCTAAGATCCAAGATAAGGAAGGCATCCCACCAGATCAGCAGAGGCTTATCTTTGCTGGTAAGCAGCTTGAAGATGGTAGGACCCTTGCTGACTACAACATCCAGAAGGAGTCAACCCTTCACTTGGTCCTCCGTCTTCGTGGTGGCATGCAAATATTTGTCAAGACTCTTACTGGGAAGACAATCACTTTGGAGGTTGAAAGTTCAGACACGATCGACAATGTGAAGGCCAAAATTCAAGACAAGGAGGGCATCCCACCAGACCAGCAGAGGTTGATCTTTGCTGGCAAGCAGCTTGAAGATGGAAGGACCCTTGCAGATTACAATATTCAGAAGGAATCCACACTGCACTTGGTGTTGAGGCTGCGTGGAGGAATGCAGATCTTTGTCAAGACCCTGACAGGAAAAACCATCACCCTGGAGGTTGAGAGCTCGGACACCATTGATAATGTTAAAGCTAAAATTCAGGATAAGGAAGGAATTCCTCCTGATCAGCAGAGGTTGATCTTTGCTGGGAAGCAACTGGAGGATGGGCGCACTTTGGCTGATTACAATATCCAGAAGGAGTCTACTCTGCATCTTGTCCTTCGCCTCCGCGGTGGTTAATATGGTTTCTATGCATGGGTCTCTTGTTTCGGTAGGCTTGTGGTGGTTTCGTTTGTGTGTGTGTTGAACTTTGTGACCAATTTTAATGGTTTTGGAATAAGTGTCGAAGCTATGTTATATTTTAATGCCTTTTATATTTTCGTACTCTTTTACAATGACGTGAAAATGGCCTTCTATGAGGTGAAGGTCACACTTTGGTTTAATAAATAAGTTTTCTTCATGTGAAAAAATTTTGCGTTTGATTTTTGATTATGTCATTCATGGTATCACTAGATCATCGATTTGTTTTTGGTTACTGCATAAGTTGGTTGGATTAGTATTTGAGCCATGGAACATTTTCGAGGAGGCTTGAAATAGATCTTTCAGGTAAAAGAATTGGTAGACAAACTAAGCATATGTAATGCCCAATCGCCCTGAGCTTACCGGGCTGTACTCTGTCCATTTGACTTGTAAGCATCTTTACATTGCAGCAAATTGTAGCACTCAGAATTTGTTGAACACCATGAATTGGTCAATTTGTGTACTCCCGTTAAATATTTGATCAAATTACGACCTTAGATGGAACCTCTTAAGGATCGGACTGTTCTGTTTGCAATTGGCAGCGCCACATGGTAAGTGGTAAGCCGGTTTGTGTTTAAAGCTAAAGTATAATGTGTTTGGTGAGCGTGTAAGATAGGTTTTGTCACAGCGATGATCTGGGTGTGGATCAATTGATGGTCGAGTGTGGATGCATACACGTTGAAATTTCATGCAGATGCTGCCACAAGTCTCCTCAACGCTTTTGTTTGATTGTGGGCAAATCACATGGGTTTGCGCTGCGCTCGGGTCGCTGCATATATGCTGTCAGCGGATATGGATTTTATGAATTGCAATGTTAGATGCTTACAACATATAATTAATATATGCATACAGAATATCATTAATTACATTATTATATAATCTTATAAATGCCATATGAGAATAGGGTTTTCGCTTTTATTAACTTGTAAAACACACACACACACACACACACACACACACACACACACACACATATATATATATATATATATATATATAATCATTTACAAAATTAAAATTCTTTAAAAAAAAAACTCAGATTTAAATAGAATATATTGATTATTCATTTGGAAAATATTTTAACGTTCTCATAAATCATAGTGTATATTAATGCATCCATACTTCCTATTTTGGTACATATAGAATGCATCTACAAATAAATAAATTTACTTAACGTTAGTTTACTTATTCGTATCTAGAGCTAGTCAAGGACTGATCCCAAGCGGGCATAGGCCTGAGCCTGTTTGGGACTGGTCCCTTTTGAGACCAGTTGCTCATGGGCCTGGGATCGGTCCTTAGGACCAGTCTTAGACCCATAGGACCGGTCTTAGAGGCTTGCAAAATTTTATTTTTTCCTATTATTTTTTTATATTTTAGAGGCGAAATGAAGTTCTGTAGAGGGGTTTATATAATTTTTAGGGATAGATTAATAAGTTTTTAAAAGTTTAATTAATTTTAAAAAATAATAAATAAATTAATAATTAATTTTAACATAAATATAATATTCACATATTCACGCTTCATAAATAAACAATTTCTATCTATTTTAAAATTTATAAAGAGTTTTATGTAATTGTTTAAAGACAAAAAAAAATGAACAAAAAGGTTTGGGCTTAAGCCTGATCTAGTTTTGAGATCAGGCCTGCTTAAACCGAGTTTTTAGACCCGGTTATAAATGCCCAACTCTATTCGTATCAGTGAAATCAAAAGATTGAAATTTAAATAGTATTTAAGAAAGCTCGTTAATCCATTATGCTAATTGCTAAACATTGGCCATAACCATCAGAAACAATGCTCATGTGACATTAACTGTAGATGCTAACTGGGAAATGCGTGGTCTAATATAGTAATACACATTCTGGTTTTTGCATGTAAGCTAGCTACGTGGAAGAAGAGATAGGCAGCTTTCGATGGAGTGGCTCTGCATGGTTTAGTGATAGGATTTATGCTTAAAGGTAGCTACAAACAAAAAATTGCGTCTTTGTTTTGTTCATCTTCGAAATGCGGTTAGTAATTAGGTGGGTTGCGTTGTCGAATTGCTGCATATTGTTTGCTCTGTTCAGATCTCCTTGGAATTATTCACAAAGGAATTTTCTCAACTGATCGATCCCCCTTAACTCATAGAAGACGTACCATTAAATTTAATTTATACAGCATTAAGTATATTGTTATATGAATATCTTAAGCGTGGATATATATCTTCGTATATTTTAAAGTATGAATCACTGTTTATAAATTTCAGGGTCTCGTATGAAATATCAAAATTTCCGGCATTTTATATTGTTCGTTAAGATTTTAAGAGAATATCCCACATTAGAAAAGAATGACCTCAACCTTCGTCCACCATTAACTTCAGCTTTGTATTATATAGGTTAAAATATGGTACATATATTCGAATTCCCTTCAAACTCCAGCAGGCAATTACTTCAACTCCTCTTCTTCACTTCCTTCACACATTTTTTCGGCTCAGAAGTTGAATTTCGATCTTCCCTTCGCCTTGGGGAATTTTATTTAAGTTTTGTGAACGGATCATTATCCTAATTACATGTATCATTAAGATCACCAGATTAATTATTACCTTGAACCATGCATATATATATATATATATATGAGTTAATTAACCAAATCAACAGGCTCTTAATATGCAAGAAGATAAACTAGAACCTCTTTGTGCATTAAAGAAACTTTCGATTACATAGCCTCTCAACTCTACGTACAAACACTTCACTCTCACACACACAAGATAATGTGCTTATTCCTACTAGCTATAAGTCACCCTACTAACACTAAAATATATCTTTAAAAACTTAAATTAGGATAATATTTATATAACCTCTCAATTATATTGCTTTTTTTTTCCCTTTCATTGCTGTCACAAGATCATATTCTAAGGTTTCTTTTTAGCACGAGAACTTTTCCAAAAATATAAAAATTTCCCAACTGAAATAATGTTGAGAGTGGGATTTGAACCCACGCCCTTTCGGACCAGAACCTTAATCTGGCGCCTTAGACCAACTCGGCCATCTCAACGCGATGACCATTCCCGGACAAATAAACTTTAGTATTTAAAGTTATTATATTTACTATTTAGTCACATGTGATGAGATCCAGTTGAACTTTATAGTAGCTGGTAAATTCAATAAGAACAAAAGCACTTGATATGAAGCGGGGAATTCGGTGAACCTGCAGCTATTTAAGTTCTTACTTTAATATGAATTGTCATTATAAGATGATGCAAGTGAAGGGATCGTTAGGGAAATGGGCGTATAATTGTAGACGTAAAAATCTACCTGTACGGAAGGAGGGTCTGATCCCGTGAGGTTGAGGCCACTAGCGATCCACTGCACCTGCACACGTAAAAAGACAAACGCATGAAGTAAACGAGAAACACCAGGGTGGTGTTTGCCGTAGGCACTCCGACGCTCAAGTCAGCAAGGCTGAAAGAGGCTTGTATAGTGGGGGCTAGGGAATAGAGAGGTTATCGGAAGTCTAGTCGGAGACTGTGACTACGACGGTGATATAAAGCTCTCAAGTAGGAGCTTCGGGTGTGATGGTGTAATGTAGTGTGACCTTTGTGAGAGGGCTTGCCTCTGTTTATATAGTGACTGTCTGGTCTCCCAATCCTGGAGGGAGTAGGAGTCCTAATGTGACTCTGATGCAAACCCTAGAAGAATTAGGGCCGTGGTAAACTGTCTTACCAGTGTCCGGATAGGAAGGTGACTCTGATCAGGAAAGTAACTTCGAGTAGGAAAGTGTTCTGAACAGGAAAATGACTTCGAGTTGGAGATTGATCGAGAATAGGAATGTGATCAGTGGGCCATGGGCTCGGAACTCGCCTATAGGCCCGGAAGTGAACTGGAATTGGGAGGCCCGTGCCCAGATGGTTTGTGCAGGTCGTACCTCGTATCGAATAGGACTAATCTGGCTTGGGCCTCTTTGGGATTTAGGCCTAGTCTTCTCTTCACAAATGGTCCTGCTTTCCTATTTGGGCCGAGGACGATTTTTGGCCTTAACAGTTTGTCCCCCACTCTATGAGTTAAGAGTTTATTAAGTTAGAGAGTAGGTAGTGATCGAGGCGAGCTCGGTCTTTTTTCGTGGATGAACGATCGTCGGTGTGGATGAACTGATTATTACAGGTAGACCCCTGGTCAAGTGTCGTTTGGTATCCGTAAATGATCCGGAGTAGGCTATCATTGCAAGGTGGTGTGCCAGATCGGTGTGAGGGGTCGAAGGGTAATATGAGCAAGTTCTGGAGCTCACGCGATCGTTCGGTACATCCGACCGATTGGATAGGAGAAATCATTCTACAGCCTGGATGCCCGCTCGGCATGCCGGGTCGAGTGAGGTAGGGAGTTCATTTATCTAAAAATATTCGCTTGATCGGGATGCATGGACGATCGAGTGGATGAGACATGCACCTCGACTGAAGACTGTTCTTTCGTTCTCTATGGAAGGATGAACGGGCGAGACCTCTTGCCTTGTTCTGAAGAGGGCTTGAACCGGGCCGTTCCAAGCTGATTGACTGGTATGCCAGGCCTTCCGGGCCTACGAAACATAGGGCATTTAGAATGCCTCCGAAAGTCGGGGACTGAATCGGTAGGGGGTATCAGGCGATTGAGTGGAAGGGATGTGTGAGCTTTGACATTGGTTGTCCATTCGTCCGCTACGGAAGAACGACTAGGCTAGAGCTCAGGCTGGATCTTTCCCAGTCAATCGACTAGTCGGGGGGGGGGGGGGGGGGGGGGGGGGGGGGGGGGGGGGGGGGGGGGGGGGGGGGGGGGGGGGGGGGGGGCCTCCTGAGCCTGTGATTCGTGGGGGTATGTAGATTCCACTGACGGGCACGTGTTGACTCGGTCGGCAGGTCTATACGGTCGATTCAAGCTTTCGTATGTCATTGTAGTTTCCCAGGCGCCACAGATGCTTGCCACGTGTTCGGCGGGAATCAGATCTTTATTTTCGAGGTGGGAAAATGAAAAGGCGTTTTGACCTATGGCCAATCACGGGCTGCCACGTGTCCTCGCCTGTAAGTTTTCCCATTAAAAAATGAATGGGTAGACTGTTCATCTTCCAGTTCGCATTTTTCTCCCCTTTTCTCTTTAAAAAATTTTCTTTCCTTTTCGTTTCTTCGATTCCGTTCTGGTTTCTCTTCAACGACGATGG